AAAAAAAAAAAAAAAAAAAAAAGAGAGAAAAGAAGACAGGAAAGGAGAGATGGAGGGAGAAAGTGGAAAGGAAGAAAGGGAGAGAAAGAGAGAGACAGAGAGACATACATCTAAAGATGGGTCAATGGGAAAAGAGTCCATGTGAGAGTAACAACAGAAAAGACAAGACAAGGAAGAGTCTCAGCCAGAGGCTTTAAGCCCTGCTCAGCTCCTACCTTGGATTTGCGGTCAGAGGTCGAGGCGTCTCCAGCTCCAGAGAGGTGAGGGGATCCCCGGCCACGGCCCCTCCGGCCACGGCCCCCACCTCCTCCTCGAGGCTGCTCTCCAGGGCTGTCCTCCCAGTTTCGGGATGTTCGGCCCATGCCTGCCCGGCCACTCTGTTGTGAGGGAGTCCGGCCCCCCTTGCTGGCTCCTGAGGGCCGAGAGGTCCCAGGAGACCTGCGGGAAGGACCTAGACTCTTTTCCTAGAGGGAAAGAGGAAATGTAGTACAGTCACTGGATCAAAGGGACTGGATGTACCCTATGTCCAGAAGGCAGCTACCAGGATCAAGGCCACCCACCAGTCTGGACAGCTAGGGGGACTCCCACATCCCAGGCCTCAACCCTTGGTTCCCTTTTCCATCCTCAGGACTCCCCCACACTGGGGATAAGCTTATCACCTCAACTGCCATGTTCTCCTTCTCCACCATGCGGCCCTTTCTGGGAGCTGTCACAGCCACTCCCTCGAGTTCAGCTTTCTTGCGGTCCTCTTCAATCTCCTAGGAGCAAGTATCCAGGGCAGAGGGAACATCAGGTGCCCTGTCTCCCAAAAACCTCCCAAATTACTCCTAGAGTAACCCAACCCAGGCCTGTCTCCAAGCTGATCATTTCAACCTCTTCCTTCAAATGCCAACATGTTGCTCCCTGCTCAGAACCCTCCTGTGCCTGTCTCCAGCGCTTCCCCACAGCCTATGGGACCCTCCAGGATCTGGCCTTGTTACCTTCCTGACCTCCTCTCTCCCTAACTCCCCCTCAATCACTCTGGCTTCCCCATTGTTCCCAGAACATACCAGGCTCATACTTGCCTCGGCAGCTTTGCACAAGCTGATCCCCCTACCAGGAGTACTCTTTCCCCAAAAAGCCATCAACCCCTCACCTCTCTCAGGTCTCTGGTCAAATGCTGCCTTCCCAGTGAGATGTCCCAACCACCTTGTATAAACCATCTCCTCTGTCATTCTTGCTGTTGTCAAATTTGTTTGATGCCCAGCATCATGTAGATTTTGCTTACTGTCTGCCTCCCCCACTGCAACAGAATCTACCCTAAGACAATAATCTGTCTATGTTGTTCACTGACATATACCCCAAGTCTAGAACACTGCCTGGCACATAACAGAAACTTTTTTTTTTAGATGAATGAATGCATGAAGAATGAAAAAGTGAAATCCATGCCTCCTTCTAGATTCAATCTCAGAGATGGCCTACTCTTGGGCTGTGTCCTGGACCCTCTCTCTTCCTCCCCGGGCCATCAGTAACTATATTGTCCTGAGCCAGGTACCTCCTCTACCCCAAAGGTTTCTGCCCCAGGTTCCTCCTTCGTCTCTAGTCTCCAGTATTGCCTTCTCCCATCCACTACCACAAAGCAGGGATCAGGATCTTCCTAAAAAGCTATTCTGACCTAGCATGCCCCTGCTCAAAGCCTCTATGGCTCACCAGCATGCTCAACAGAGTCTAAAACTCTCAGCCAGATGGCATTTAAGGCCCTGCAAGAAGACCTAGCTCATGCAGACCTCTCCAGAATAATTCTTCCCCAATTGGCCCTCCCAACTTTAAGCTCTAAGCTCTCTCTTCCAAGTATTTATACAAACTGTTCCCACTGCCTGGGACATGGTCTCCTCTTCTTTTTTTTTTTTTGTAGAGACAAGAGTATCACTTTATCACCCTCGGTAGAATGCCATGCTGTCACACAGCCCACAGCAACCTCCAACTCCTGGGCTTAGGCGATTCTCTTGCCTCAGCCTCCCAAGTAACTGGGACTACAGGTACCCACCACAACACCTTGCTATGTTTTTGTTGCAGCTTGGCTGGGGCCGGGTTTGAACCTGCCACCCTCAGTATATGGGGCCGGCGCCCTACCCACTAAGCCACAGGTGCCACTATCCTCTCCTTTTCAACTAGCTAATATTTATTCACCATTCAGGCCTCAAAGTGCCCTCCTCTAAGAAGCCCTCTCTAATGTCCCCCAAGCTGGGTCAGCAGCTACCTCTCAACTCCCAAACACCCCAAAATTCCCTCATCAGCCTTGCCAATGAATGAAGACACTGAATGAGAACAGAACTGTCTCACTGCATAGACTTGAGCATTAAAAAGTAGACACGAGGGGCTCGGCGCCTGTGGCTCAAGTGGCTAAGGTGCCAGCCACATACACCTGAGCTGGCAGGTTCGAATCCAGCCCAGGCCCGCCAAACAACAATGATGGCTGCAACCAAAAAATAGCTGGGCTTTGTGGTGAGCGCCTATAGTCCCAGCTACTTGGGAGGCGGAGGCAGGAGACTCGTTTGAGCCCAGGAGTTGGAGGTTGCTGTGAGCTGTGATGCCACAGCACTCTACCCCAGGGGACCGCTTGAGGTTCTGTCTCAAAAAAAAAAAAGAAAGAAAAAAAAAAATAGGCATGAGGACAGCGCCTGTGGCTTAAAGGAGTAGGGCGCTGGCCCCATATATCAGAGGTGGAGGGTTCAAACCTGGCTCCAGCCAAAAAAACTTCAAAAAAAAAAAAAAAGTAGGCATAGGACTGTCTCAGTAGTCAAGGATATACACTTAGCAGCACACAGCACAGGGCCTGGAACAGTGAACACCTTGGTGAATATTTACAAATGAATGAATGAATAATGTAATGGAGGAAGGAATGTCAGGCTAAGGCCTTTGGCTTTTATCTGACAATGATGGGGAGCCATGAAAAGGTTTTAAGGAAGGCAGAGGTGAGAAAAACTCACTGCGGGGAAGAGAGGGGATGGGGTCTCCCAGGGCAGGGCTAGGGCACCTGGTAGCGCCGGATGAGAGCCTCATTCTTCCGACGAAGAGCCTCGATCCTCTTGTCCAACTCGGCATCCTTCTCCTCCTTTGATTTCAAATCCAGCGTGGCTGCCTGAGACCAAGAGGCAATTGAGCAATGGGAAAAAAAAAATCACTCCCACCAGGGCCATTCAATCCAAAGTCTGAGAGTCTTCCCCCTGGATACTGTACTCTTCCCCAAAGCTCAGTTTCTAGAAATCCCATTTTTAGTCTCACCATTTTGATGGCTGCGTAGGGCTGAGGTGCCAGCAAACCACCCCTTAAGAATCTGGATGCAGCACTGAGGGTTCCTAAGGGCAGAGGGGACAAAAGGACTAAGCCCAATGGCCCCCTAATCAGCTTCATCCTCTTCCATATAGAGAGCTCCTCACATAGACACACATACACCAAAAAAAAAAAAAACATACATCACCAGAATTCTCCCTCTCCCTCTCACTCCCTCTCCCAGGGGTAGCCCCAGCCCTGCAAAAATGTAGACTCTGCCCCTCCATGATTTTTGCGGACTTCCCATGTAGTCAAACCCACCTAAGGAATGCTCCGGCCCTGCCCAATCGCAAGGAAACACCCAACACTGCTCTCTTCCAAAGGAAGATTCTAGTGTAGCCTCTTACCTCTTGTGGTAAGAGTTTTAGACCACGTTCCCTACCTAAAAAGAGCTCCAGCAGCACAACCTACAAAAGAAAAATCCAGACCCACTGTCCCATGCCCATTCTGGTACTGCTCACATGCAGGTGAACATTCTAGCTCTTCCGGGTAAGCTTTGAAAACATCCCCAACCCTACTCAAAGTTCGAGCTCCATCATCTCAGAGAACATTCTAAGTCCACGCCTCCCTCGGGGATGTCCCAACCCGCCTCCCGCCTCCTGAGAAAGCTACCCCCACATCACTCCAAAAGATTCTGAAAACAGACACAGTACCCACTGGCAAGGCTTCCTCGGCCTGGTATGATCTCCCCAGGAAGATACTCTACCCACCGCAACGAGAACAAAACTCCCTAGGGACACCCCTCGAGTTTCAGTGACAAGCTCCAACCCAGCTCCAACCCCGCTGGTATCGCCAGGGGCCTGGCCCGGACAGCCAGGAAACCGCCTTGGCCCCGCCCCAGGCTAAGGGACAACTTTGACTCCGCCTCCCGACGGATTTCTGGCCCCGCCCACACTCCTCCGTCACTAACTTGGCCTCCCTTCCGACTTCCCAGGCACCCCCATGGCCCCACCCCCTGGCTTCCCAAATAGCAGCCTGACCCCACCCTCGCCTTCTCACCTTATTATTCTGCCCGGGTCACCAGCTTCCCTAGCCCACGCTCTGACCCCGCCTCGGACTAGCCCGGTCAACTGTCTGGACACGCCCCATAATCCCGCCCCCGTCTCTCGTAGCATTAATATCTGGCTCCGCCCCCGGCTATCCTATCTGCCACCTTACCCGCCAACGCTCTGGACTCATCCCTGGTAAGGGCAAAACTTTCCGGCCCCACCTCTACCACGACCCATCAAGACCCACCAGCACCCTGGCCCCGCCCTCTGGATCCCAGCCACATTTTGGCCCCGCCCTCGCCTCCGGCGTCGTGCTCTAGAACCACTCCCGACTTCCCGACAACGATCCACTTCCACCTGAAGCAAAACTTTCTGGTCCCGCCCACAGCGTTTTCCGCCAGCATCCCGGCCCCGCCCCCAAACCGGACACAACTTTTAGGCCCCGCCCCCAGCTGCCCCCGAGCTCTGGCCCCGCCCTCAACATGGCCCGTCCCGCACTGCCAGCGCCCCGCCAGCTGCCCACGTGGGCGTCCTGTCCCCGCCCCCCGCAAAGTATTCTGGCCCCGCCTCCGCCGGCTGCTCACTACCCCGCCCGCGCCTGCTCCAGCTGCCCCCACGTGGGGCTTTAGGCCACGCCCTCCATGGGTGCTCTCACGGCCCCCTCCCCCGGTCACCTGTCCCGGAGACCCCGCGGCGTCCGCAACTCCGGCTCTGTCGGCCTCTGCGTCCGCAGCTCCCGGGCCGTTTGCGTCACTTCCCTCCTACACACGTGAGGAGGGGAAATAAAGAAGGTCATTTCCGGCCCTGGCAACCCGTTTCCGGGCGTCTTAAAGGAGACAGCCCCCTCCCCCCTCCCCCCTCCCCACCCCCGGTGGAGGCGGGCGCGGGTAGACCTGGTCTCCACTGGAGATCCGGAAGCTTGTTCGACTTCTTTCTAGATTACCTCCTTCCGGGGAAAGGAGACACGGGCACCACTCTTTGCCTTCTACATTTGTTGAAGCTGATTCCACCTCCAGCCCATCATTCCTCGTGCCTATAAGCAGGTGCCAGGCACTGGGTAGACTCCTGGAAACCTGACCTGATTTGACCCGCTCCTAACAATGAAACCTTGGAGTTAGTTTTAGAACTTGAAATTTTTCAACCCCTACAATTATTCATTCTCTAAATCAGCATTGATTTTTTTTTTTTCCTAGCAGATCGGCGCCTGTAGCACAGTGGTTCCTGCGCCAGCCACATACACCGAAGCTGGAGCGTTCGAACCCAACCCGGGCAAGCTAAACAACAGTGACAATCGCAACGAAAAATAGCCGGGCATTGTGGCGGGCACCTGTAGTCCCAGCTACTTGGGAGGCTGAGGCAGGAGATTAGCTTAAGCACAAGAGTTTGAGGTTGCTGTGAACTGCGACACCACAGGACTCTACCCAGGGCGACATAGTGAGACTCTGTCTCAAAAAATAAATAAGCAGGCTCAGCGCCTGTGGCTCAAGCGGCTAAGGCGCCAGCCACATACACCTAAGGTGGCGGGTTCGAATCCCCAGCCTGGGCCCGCCAAACAACAATGATGGCTGCAACCAAAAAATGGCCGGGCGTTGTGGTAGGCGCCTGTGGTCCCAGCTACTTGGGAGGCTGAGGCAGGAGACTCACTTGAGCCCAGGAGTTGAAGGTTGCTGTGAGCTGTGATGCCACTGCACTCTACCCAGGGTGACAGCTTGAGGCTCTGTCTCAAAAATAAATAAATAAATAAGCATTGAGTGCCGGGCCCTGTGCTGGGGGGGAGGGGGGTGCAAGGTGAGAGGGAGTCAAGATGAGGAGGAAGGCAGATTCCATCCCTGCCCTCCTGAGGGGAGACACAAGTAAATGTAAAATAACAGCAACCATGGGAGATGGCTTCCAAGAAAGGTAGAAGAAGAGGCCTGAGAGTGAGAGGGGCTGGATGTGCAGGCCTATGCAATGGTCCTGTGCTGAGTGAACTTGCTGCATTACAGGAACTGGAAGAAACTCCAAGCAGCAGCAGCTAGATTTGGCTACAGAATCCCCAGATATTGCACACATTTAACAAAAATTTAGACATAACAAACCGATTATGACAGGTGATGATCACTGTTATGGAGCACTCTCACAGGAGGTGATAACAGTTATAAGAGGACAGACTGGATTCACTGAAGTGCTGGTAATTTTATTTTGTGATTTGAAATATAGACAGTGGCAGTACCTGGTAATCCCTTGATATGGCCAGTATTAGCTTTTTAGAGATCTCTACACATACAACTTAATCCTCTTATGATTGCCCAAATGCCAACTTTACTACATCCCTTAGCTCAGATCTTTATTTAAAGGTCACCTCCTCATAGAGGACTTCTGTGAAACCACCCATTTAAAATTTAATCAAAAACATTGAGGCCAGGTGCAGTGGCTCACATCTATAGTCCTAGCACTCCTGGAGGCCTGGGCGGGTGGATTGTTGAGCTCAGGTGTTCCAAACCAGCCTGAACAGGAGCAAGACCCTGTCTCTAAAAAAAAAAAAATAATAACTAGGCAGCCATAGTGGTAGGTGCCAGTAGTCCTAGCTACCTGGAAGGCTGAGGCAAGAGGATCACTTGAACCTAAGAGTTTGAGGTTGCTATGAGCTGTGACACCACGACACTCTACTGAGGATGACAAAGTGAGACTCTGTCTCTAAATAAATAGATAAATAAGAAATAAAAATCACAAAATTTCCAGGCCAGTGGAAGGCACCATGGCTCACTCCTGTGATCCCAGCACTCTGGGAGGCTGAAACTGGTGGATTGCTTGAATTCAGAAATTCAAGACCAGTCTGAGCCAGAGCCAGAACTCCTCTCTAATAAAGAAACTACTGGGCAGCGCCTGTGGCTCAGTAGGTAGGACTGAGGCCCTATATATTGAGGGTGGTAAGTTCGAACCCAGCCCCGGCCAAACTGCAACAAAAAAATAGCGGGGCATTCTGGCGGGTACTTGTAGTCCCAGCTACTCAGGAGGCTGAGGCAAGAGAATCGCCTAAGCCCAGCTGATGGAGGTTGCTGTGAGCTGTGATGTCACAGCACTCTACTGAGGGTGATAAGGTGAGACCCTGTCTCTAAAAATAAATAAATAAATAAATAGAAATAAAAAAAATAAAGAAACTACCTAGGTGTTGTAGCATGAGTCTGTAGTCCCAGCTACTCAGGAGGCTAAGGCAAGAGGATCACTTAAGCCCAAGAGTTTGAGGTTGCTATGAGCTATGAGGCCACAGCACTCTACCCAGGGCAAAAAAGTGAGACACTATCTCAAAAATAAAAATAAAAAATCACATTGGCGGGATACCAGGACTCATGCATGTAATTCTAGCACTTTTAGAGGCCAAGGCAGGTGAATTGCCTGAGCTCAGGAGTTCAAGACCCGCCTGAGCAACACTGAGACCCTGTTTCTGAAAAATAGCCGGGTTGGGCTCGGCACCTGTGGCTCAAGCGGCTAAGGCGCCAGCCACATACACCTTAAGTGGTGGGTTCAAATCCCCAGCCCGGGCCCACCAAACAGCAATGATGGCTGCAACCAAAAAATGGCCAGGCGTTGTGGCGGGCGCCTGTAGTCCCAGCTACTCGGGAGGCTGGAGCAAGAGGAGCACTAGAGACCAGGAGTTTAAGGTTGCTGTGAGCTATGACACCTTGGCACTCTACCAAGGTGACAAAGAAAGACTCTTTGAGTAAGACTCAAAAAAAAGCAATAAAAAATAAAATAAAGGCTCAGTGCTCGTAGCACAGTGGTTACAGTGCCGGCCACATACACTGAAGCTGGCGGGTTCAAATGCAGCCGGGACCAGCTAAATAACAATGACAACTGCAACCAAAAAATAGCTGGGCATTGTGGTGGGTGCCTATAGTCTCAGCTACTTGGGAGGCTGAGGCAAGAGAATCACTTAAGCCAAGAATTTGAGGTTGCTGTGAGCTGTGACACCACAACACTCTACCGAGGGCGACACAATAAGACAGTGTCCCCAAAAATTAATTAATTAATTAATTAATTAAATTAAAATCACAAAACTTCACTTACCTTTTCCTGTTCCTACCTTTATTTCTCTACTTTTCCAGTCACTCTCTCAACAACCATGTCTTTCACTTATTTATCTTGTTTGTTTTTGTTTTTTCTTTTTAGAGACAAAGTCTCACTTTTTCACCCTCAGTAGAGTGCTGTCGCATCACAGCTCACAGCAACCTCCAGCTCTTGGGCTTAGGTTATTCTCTTGCCTCAGCCTCCCACGTAGCTGGGACTATAGGTGCTCACCACAACACCTGGCTATTTTTTTGTTGCAGTTTGGCCAGGGCCGGGTTGGAACCCACCACCCTGGGTATATGGGGCTGGCACCCTATTCACTGAGCTGCAGGTGCCACCCAACTTACTTATCTTGTTCACTATCTCCTTCATTGTTGTCTGTTTCTTTTCTTTTCTTTTTTTTTTTTTTTTTGAGACAGAGCCTCATTCTTAAAAGAGGCAAGAGGATCACTTAAGCCCAAGTTGGAGTTTGCTGAGAGCTATGACACCATGGTACTCTACCAACAGTGACAGCTTGAGACTCTGTCTCAAAAAAAAAAAAAAGTGGGGCACCTGCTGGCCCCATATGCCAAGGGTGGCGGGTTCAAACCCGGCCCCAGCCAAACTGCAACAAAAAAATAGCTGGGTGTTGTGGCACGTGCCTGTAGTCCCAGCTACTTGGAGGCAAAGGCAAGAGAATTGCCTAAGCCCAGGAGTTGGAGGTTGTTGTTAGCTGTGACGCCATCGCAGTCTATCAAGGGCGATAAAATGAGACTGTATCTCTACAAAAAAAACAAAAGTGAAGCTGAGCCTTTATCTACAGGAGATGAGAAGATCAGAGTGAGACAGCCACTGACAATGCCTCCCTGGGGCACTCAATATTTCCATCCAATCTCTCTGGGTAGCTACAGGAACCAGCATCAGCTCCACTTTACAAATGAGG